GAATGACTGTGTGACGCTGGCGCCATCTGCTGGATAAACATGTTTGTCATCAAGCAAATAGCTCCCATTTAATCATGTCAACATATTGTTTGCTGTGATAGTCATCTCTCCCACACAGGCAAAGAAAAGATCCCAGATCAAATTATTATCAAAAACCACACTTATTTGTTTATGGAGCATCACACACATTATGAAAAATGTTCTGCCAAATGGCTTTCGTCTTTCCTTTCTCATAAAATTAATGTACCCAAAATGGGGATGTCTAATTTAGGAGTAGTGTGCTGGCTGCCAGTCTTGGGTGTATCCCATACAGTCCTGCTGGAACAAATGGGATCACCTAGAGCATAAGTGACATTAACTACAACATTCTTGTCCTGTATGGTTGTTTTTGTGACTCTGGCCAGATGCACACAAATAGGGCATTTCTTGGGTTAGGTTCTGTATTTAAATTAATGTACATACAGTTAGCTACAAATCTGATTTTAGATGCCTAGAGTAGAAACGCCTGCTAGTTGTTGATGATTGCCTTCAGTTTTTAGTTTTGAACTCATTGGCTACATCTACACAAGTGCGGACATTTGTTTCCATGAGGACAAGATGCAGCTGCTACTTTTCCCCAGGGAACACCTGTGCCATGTACCCTCTGGTACACGGCAGGTTTCCCCATGTGGGGAAGGGGACGCTGGGGCCAGCACTGGGCTCATCCCAACAGCCTTACCTAGGGCTCTGGAGGCCGCCTACGCCTGCAGTAGCAGCAGTCCTGCCGCTTGGAGCCTGGCTGGCAGTTGGAGCATGGCTCTGGGTGGCCAGGCTCTGCTTTTGGGTGGCACACTCTGCCCCTGCGTGCACTGTTCCACTTTTTTTTGTGTGGGTGTTTTTTGACCCTGGAATCTCTTGGGGTCAACCCCCTTCGCCTCCCCACAGTGCTGCTACTTTGCAGCATGGAGAACCACTGAATGTACGGTATGTGGCACTGCAGATGTGTTTCTGGTGCCCCATACCACACGGCCATGCTCGTCTGGACACAGCCATTAGGTCTATGGATGAAAATATCAGAATTCTTAGTAATATTAAATTTAATGTCACCTAAGTGTTCTAGTTGCATACTTCACTTCAAACAGATTGAAAACTTTACATAGCAGAATATTTGAGAGATAAAATGTATAGAACATATTGTCTTACCTTTTAAGCCAAGTTTCTCATTTGCCTATCCTTTCACATGGTAAGACTTGGTGGTCTGATTACAGGCAGAGGCAATAAGAAGTATTAGTTGCTTCACTGACAGTAATTTTTTATAGGAAGAAAGCAACTGACTGAAATCTCAACTTTAACTTTTCTGTTGCAAGTAAGGCAGACAAGTTAGTGGCTTGGAGGGCCATTCCTTTATTGTCCCCAAGTGTTTCATTAAGGAATGTGCTTCTTGCATCCATAATTGAGTCGTATGTAACATACATTTATAACCATTTGTTTTAATGTCATAAATTTTTCTGATGCAAAATCGGGCAGTGGATGTGCTGTAAGTCAACAGTTTCAGAAAGTGTTCAAAAATTAGAACAATAAATATGGATACATAGAAAACCCCTAAACATGAATTACAGTGAAGAAGAATCTTTAAATTTAGAAGATAATTTATTTTTCTAAACACACAACTAGGTAATATTTAATTTCTTGCATTTACAGCCTAAATGGAATTTTCCAAATACTGTCTTTCTTTTTTTTATGCCTTCAGGCAAAATTTATAGTAAGAGGTTTATTCCTGTTTTGGTGCTTAGATTGGTAATGCATCTTGAGCCATGATTTTGAAGATATGTTTTATTACTGTAAAATACACTAACACGAAGTGCTGAAGAATGTTAATGAAAAACACGATCTTTAGAGGCACTGAGGATGAGCAATGACACTGATCTGGGAATTGTAAATGCTCAGCACCTCTCAAGACTTGGCCTGTAGAATACAGTCCTTTTTTTCCCCTCCCCAGTCTTTCTGTGTTATCCAGAATAATACTTATAATAAGACTTGAATTTAAAATTAATTTTTAGACATTGCAGAAATTATTAATAGGCACTGTGTTTTCCATAGAACCATTGAACCAGTCAAAAAGCTGCAGTTACTTTTACGTACACGAGTCTGTATATCTCCTTGTTTCATTGAGTTTAGATGACCATACCAGACTATGTTGAACATACTGAAAACATGGTCCAAATGCCCAGAACCTTAACAGTAATATCTGTTTAGGTCAGATTAATTTTATTACAATGAAATAAGCTTTCAGCCACTATAACTGTCCAAGGAAATTTATTTTTTATTTAGCTCTCTACCAATAAATTATATTTCTGCATAAAAGCTTAGTTTTCCATATTACATACTTTCGTTTCTGATTTATACAACTGTAGATAATGTGCAAATTTTTTTTCTTCCTAATTACAGAGTTTCAACAGAGTTTGAAGTAAAGCCTTCTTCAAAAATCCTTTCTATGCTTCCATGAAAACTATTCCTGCCGCAAATCTTCCCCTGGTTTACAGCATTTTTTTAAAATTGAAAAAGCTTGAAAATATTTGTTGTTTTCTTTTTTATTATATATGTTAGCACACCACTTTGATATTAGATATACCAGAAGGTTATAACGGAGAGTATTGGAGGTGGATTCTAATTATTATAGTGATTGCATCCTGGAAAAATATAGGTTCAAAATAATATGTTAGAATACAGGATCTGGATTGGACAAATATCTGGAGCAGGTTTACTTCATGTGGTGATGAAAACCTCAAAAGTGGTCAGAACTTAATCTAGAATAGGACTTGCATTGGCACTAAGACTGGTGGCATCTGTGAATTTGTTGTTGAGCCTTGTCTATAATGCCTAAGCATTCAGCACAGAGAGGCTAGACTGATGCTAAAGAGCTGAGTTTCTTTAGCTCATACCCAGACTATTATTTCAGTAAAGCCTGGAGCAGTTTTTGCCAATAAATTATACCTCTAATTTTTAATTTCATTGAAATACAAATGTTGACATTTTCAAAAAAACATGTCTAACTTAATCTATTTTCTTTTTAAAAGAAAATATTTTAAACACATTATATACCATATTTACCTGAATGCAAGATGACCCTCCAGTAATTAGATTATATAAATGTATAATTTTCCATTTGTTATACTTTTCCATGTATAACATAGAGACTTGTCTTGAATTTATTTGCTCCCTTCCCTTCTACCCCCACCCCTGCTAATGGAAAGCAATGGAGAGAGGCAAGTGGCAGGGAAAGAGAGTGGGTGGGAGGGCAGGCAGTCTGATACGGCCACTGCCCTCCCCCATCTTCCTCCCTCATCCCCCCCCTCCCCCCC